GAATCCCAGCTCAGCTTGCCACATGGTCGCCCTGCAGTGAATGAGATGGACACCTCTGGTCCACCTTCTTACTCTGACTGCACTGCAGAATGGATTGCCATTCCCTGCAGAGAAAGCTGCTTTACTGAGTATTTTGACCTGGGATGGCAGTGCCTTGGAGTCTGCTGGGCTCACAGGATGCCAGAACTGCTTCCTACCCTCCTCAGAACTGATTTCCTCCCCAGATTAGCATGGCTGTGCCTAAGAGCTCTTTCCCAAATCCTTGAGCCTGCCACTTCCTCAGTCTGAGGGTATCTGCTAGTGTCCCACTGGCTTTCTGAACAGTGACAGCTGCAGGAGGCCTCCACTGTGGAGGAAGGTCCTCACACCAGTTAATCATTCACCCTGGGGCTTCCCACACAAGCTGAAGGGAGAAGATACACGTGGGGCCTCTCGTCAAGGAAACAACCTCTCTAAGCGACTGCCAGGTGCTTTCCTGGGTCACCCTCTCAGCAGCAACACTCCTTGAGTGCTCCCACCATGCAGGCACAGCTGGGCAGGGAGCAGCACCAAGCTGGTGTGTCCTGCCAGGACCATGACACCACCACTCCCAGGCCACTTTCATTCCACTTGCTTTTGCAATTAGGAACATGGAAAAAGAAATAAGGATACACTGACTCTGCCACTTCCCAGGCACGCTTCCAACGTGAGCAGCTCTGTTTTAAGAAACACCTCCTGTGCTCTTCTCAGGGTGGCCCCTCTTGGCCTTTGGGGATGTGCTCAGTGTCCTCTCACTGTGCAGCCAGAGATAAGACCAGCACCAGCTGGGTTTGCTGCCTGCACAGCAGGGACAGCTTCCCCAGGCTGCCAGCACAAGCTCTTCTGTTGCAGAACTAGACAAGCAGAAGGCAGGGGGGTAGGGACTGATGCTTTTGGACTGCAGCTCCCAGAGCTTTCTTTATCCCACAACTCACCTGCCAAAGTGCAGGATTGTTTCTGGCCTGATGGCTCCATCCAAGTGGACATGAAGTTCGACCTGCAATAAGACGATGAGAAATCAGAGAGGTGCCCTGAGAGCTCCAAGCAATGTTTAGAGATGAGCAGCAGGTGCTAACACAGGTACAAGTGCAGTCAATATAGGGACAAACTCATAACAAGAAAGCACAAAAAAAATTTAAAACACCATCATTACAAAGTTTATTTTGCAATATCTAAGTATTGTATAAATATTTTCTTCTTGCTACTGCAGCTCAGGCATTTAATGGATCTTCAGAAATGTACTCTGTTTCCAGTCACCTTCAGGAATTGCCCTCTCCTTATGCAGCTTCCATGGTTTGGAGTCTGGAAAGCAAGAAATAAACTCCAAACACCTTCCCTTTCCTGCTTCCTACTTCTTGAATTCACAGACACTCCAACTAATTTGTTAAGAGTCATTACACAAAAGCTTTGACTTCACTTCCAAGAATCAGCTCTTGATATACTGTTAATTACTTGGCTTGTATCAGACCACACAGGCTTCCTAATCCCACATGTCAAGTCAGTCTCATGGTACAAAGTGCTGCAAAAACTAAAAACCAGCGTTACCCCCAATACAACTAACACAGTTTCAAAATAAAACACTAAAATCTTGACTTATTAAAAATGGGACAATAACTCAGAATCTTTTCACTCTGAAACCCTGTTTCCCAATTATTGTTGAAACTATGGAATTTGGAGAAAGAGCCCCAGAAAAGCAAGTTTTTCCATGAGGCAGCTGGGACTTTTGGAGGAATATGACAAATGTAACTTGGAAGTCAAACTGGGAAGGAAAGTATTAGCTGTCAAATCTTTCAGCTAGATCTTCATCTTTCCAGAACTGTTTTCTTTTAAGCAATGGAACAGCCTACAAAGTGTGAATTAATTTTTTTAATGAAAGTGTGGAGCAGCAACTTAATGCACAAAGTCCCTGTTAGCTAGAACATGATGCACATTCTCCTGTGTAGATGATTGCTGGAGGATGCAAAGGTAAGAGTCGAGTATGAGTCAGAAGACGCCTGGACATTTACACAGATAACTAAACCACCCAGGGTTACTAATTAAAACCCACAAACCCTTTGGTGTCAGGGTATGTATCACACAATAACCATGAGGAGCTGGAAGGAAAATGAGTCTGCTGTCCCTACAAGCAAGGCAGCTCATTTATGTCCACCTCAAGATCTTCTCACCCTCCTCTGAAGCACCCGTGAGCAGCTGTGAGCTCAGAGCCACCGGCCCCGCGCCCAGCACGGAGCTGGCAGTGCCCATCTCTGGGACAAGGACTGATGCCCACGAGCTTGCTCCCATCCCCACCTCCTCCTGCAGCCCTGGGTTCTTGCTGTGCAGGCAGACACCCACCTTTGGACCCACAGCCAGGGTTTTCACTGAGTGCTTCTGCTGCAAAAGGCCATCACTGCTGGGGTGAGACAGTGCTTGTGTCCAGGCCACGGGATGGCCAGGAAGCCACCACTGAAACGAGCACTGTGGGATGCAAAGTGCAGGTGCCAGGGCAGCCTGAGCTACTGACCCTGCACCTTTGCAATCACCCAGCCCAGACATCATGAATATTCCCACTGACATTCCTGTCAGCAGGTTGGAAAAAGATATCCCTGTCACTTCTGCCCTTAAGACATGATCTCAATCTACAGGGATGAAGATCTGAAAAGGGCAAAACCTCATTTTCACATCCAGTTATGCAATCCTGCTTTGAGGACTAAATGTCCTGAGAAGCAGCAGATATAAGAACAGGCTATGGACATGATCTGCATCGCCAGATGTGGACAGCTGGCATGTTTTCTACTCTTGAGCTCCAATTCCTATTTCAAAATCATGCAGGCTCTCTTCCTCGAGGTTTTCAACAGCCCTCGTGACCTTCTGATGGAGTCACAGGCTTGAAACTTGCTCACGCAAGTTTGGATATATAAACCAAACAAGCCACACCTACTGGGGGCTTCTAACTCCAAACCCTTCTGAAACATTTCCTGCAAGAACATCCCAACGTGACACGTCCATCAACATGAAAGTAAACTCCGTGGTGTCCTTCACCCACACAAGCCACCTCTTTGGTTCTTCCCCAGTCCCAGCAACTGGCTCTTCCTCCACAGCCTTTCACTTCTTTGGGTCTGGAGGGACCTTAAACCAAGTGCAAAGAAACTCTCATGCAATGCTACTCAACACCAAACTTTGCTGGGTTCCTCACGAGCAGTGCTTGAGGGAGTTGTTTTCTGCAGTTGGGAATTGACACAGGCTATTTAGATTAGCAACAGACATTCAAGTGAAGAAGGAAAGGTGTGTCTCCACCCAGAGCTGGCCCCAGATAAGGATGCAATCAGCAGAGGCCCAACAAGCTGCTCAGCTTGTCAGGGGCCTTGCTCCCAAGTCCTGCAGGCTTCCAGGCCAGGGAGGCTGCTCACTGCCACTCTCCACCTGCCTGTTTGTTTTGGGCAAACAAAGCACAAGCCTTTCCAGATACAAGTGGGTGAGGTGACCTTGCTTTAAGTCAAGGAAAGTACCCAGATAAAGGTGAAGGAGTTTTTTCTCTGAACTTTGGCTCCAGGAGATGATGCCTGAGAAAGCAGAAATGAAGTGAAGGCAGGAGCCTGGTGCCTCTTCCAGGGCTCTGCTCCTCAGGATCCATGCACATGTGGTCTCCCACTGGTTTAATTGGAGAGGAAGCCTGCACACACAGATTCAATAGGAATCCAGGACCTCACTGGTACCATGGTCTGCAGCAGCAGTGGAGCCTTCAGCCAGGCCAGGACCAGCAATGCCTCCCTTCCTCACAGCAAACCCAGTAACACGTGTTCTGACAAAGAACGAGAAATAAGCAGAGTTCTGAAATGGTCTCCTGGGGCAGGAGTGTGGCTCTTCCCCTTGGCAGCAGCGAGGACCAAGGACCCCCTTTGTGCAGCCACCCTTCAGCAGTCCTCCTGCACCTCCCCAGCCCTGCAGAGTTCCCTGCCCGAGCATCCCAAAACCACAGCGCAAGTCAAGAAAACCCCCGAGTTTCCCTAAAAAGTTGTCTAAAGCCAGAGGGATGAGTTCAAAAGACATAACTGGCCATGATTTGTGGCACCCCCAGCAGAGGCTGGCAGAGCAAACCCAGAGCTTTCCATTTTTATGCAAAAAAAAGTTGTAGCTCAAGCTCAGCACGTGACCCGTGAGTGCAGATATCAGCACATCGGGTCAGCTGGGAGAAATCACAGAAAAGGAGAAGTTTTAAGGGCTCTGGCTTGACTCTTCTCTTCTGAAAACACTGGGATGTTTTCTTTGAAACGTAATAAGCTTCAAAACTACATTCAAACACAAAATGAGGTTCAGCAAACAAGCACATTCTGTTCAAAGATCAAGCCTGATTATTTTCAATTTAATGAAATTAAGAGGAAAAAAGTTAACCACAGTATTTTCAGCTACAGTCACCCCAACAGATTTTCTTTCTTACTCTACAGATTGCTCAGCAGACCATGGCAGAGCAGTTAACTGCTCAGCTCATCTACTATGTGGTATAGAAAGCACCATCTAAGATAGGACACTTGAGGGACTTTCTGCGATCACCAGCCTCACCTTTTGCTTTGATGGCTTCTGGCAGGTATTAATTGATAACCCAGGCAGCTGCTAAAAGTTGTATCACTTAGAAATCATTAGCAGTGACTTGCCCAGGAGCAATTTATCTGCACATTAAAAGGTGATAATTTAAAATGTACTCTGCTGATCTCAATAACTGAAAAAAAACAGAGTAATCAGAGCTGTCATCTATCAGTTGTTAAGATACTCGTGACAGGAAAGCACAAATAGAGATCAAAATTCAACAAGAGATAAGACAAATGTCAACCACTGCAAAAAGCATGAACTGTGCCCCCCAAGTACCAGCTTTATGGAAGCCTGTTGGCAGGAGTCAAGTTCTCCTCGCCATAAACTCACCACAAACACTACTGACAAGCACCAGGTGAGACCAGATCAAGAGGGCTGTGCAGCTGAAGAGGCACAGAATTATCCTCAAACCTGACAGCACTCACAGATGTGTTTTGCAGATGAATCTGCCATATGCTTTAAGGTTTGAGACTTTAAAAGGGGAATGTGGGAGACTATGATATCCACACATGACACACTGCTCCACTGCAAGAAATATTTGTGCTCTCCAGAGGAGCTTTGATATGAAACATGGGTTTGGTGACTGAGGAGGATGCTTCCATGCAGAGCAGGCTTCAGTACCAGCACCAACCACTCAGCACCACTCACCTCAGTACAAGGGTTTTGGTGCTGTTAACAGGTGATGGTGGCTGTGTGTCACCCTCCTGCAGGGACACCCTGTGGGATGGGCCACATCTCCCCCTGAGCTGTTGCAGACCTTGCACCTGCGTGTGTCTGGAACAAGGCAACGCTTTGAAGCAATAAACAGAGCCCTTGCACTTTTAACAGCAGGGAGGCAGCCTCTTCCTGCCATCACAAGTGGAGTCAGGAGGGTTATCTGAGAAGGTTCCTGCAGAGCATCACAGGAGGTCTGAGTGTGCACATCTCTGGGTGAGGCCCAGCTGGGCTCAGCAGCCCCATGCTCTGACCCATGCCAAGCCTTCATGGTCAGGCTGTGGACAAGAAGTGGATGAGCAAAAAAAAAAGTCATCCTCAGCACACCCATATGCACTTGCACACACACACACACACACACCCCCCATAAGGATCATCTTTGTAAATGACTGGTTTTGATTTGTTTTACATGTTTTAAAGTTTTGCACTTGAGGCAAGTATCAGCTCATCAACAGGAGCACATGCTGCAACAGCCAGTTCTGGCCAGCTCTCCCAGTTCCCAGACACAAAGGACACACTGCAGACAACTAGGACAGGGACAGGCTCTGAAACCCCATGACACACACAGGAGGGCTTGCAGGAAGACCCACCCAACACAACCTGAGCTCATGTTGGAAAGAAGCCTCCAGCAGCAACATGACCCCAGCTGCTGGGAGGGTGTGGGCCTGACCCCACTCCCATCCTGCTCCCTGCAACGTGGCTCAAGGCCCACAGGAA